TGGGGGACATAGGGGCAACAGGGGAAGGAGAGGGGAGGGTGGTCCCGACCGGGGGTGGGCACTGAAGAGGGGGATGTGATAGCGATAGAGGAGGATGAGGGAAGAGGATGTGATGCACATTGACGGGACCACTGGCCCAATACCTCACGCTTGACGGGTGAGGTCCGACCCGGCCCCCCTGCAGCCTCACGTCGAGGTTCCCCCTCTACCCCCCATGCCCGTCCCCATGCTAGCAGAAGGACCGATGGAGGGGCTGGGGGAGACCTTGAGGACAGAGCCCGCGCGAGGGAGCCCCCATCCTCACCTCCCGTCCTCCAGCCCACCCGCCCCCAGGAGCACCACCTTCCCCACCCCCACCCTCAGGTCCCGGTAGTGTCCAGGGGGGCAGCCAAGGCCCTGGCCTTCTTGGCGGAGCCGTGCTCCCAGACCCCCACGCTGCTCCATGGCCAGCCCCCCTCTCTCGTCCCCAAGCGCCTGACCCCACGGTTGCAGGCGGTCCACCGGGAGAGCACGCGGGTGCGACAAGAGCAGAGTCACCCGAGGGCACCCCTTCTCTCACCTCTCACCCCTCCCCGCCCCTTCCCTCACTCCTTCCTTCACCCCCAAGGGCAGCACACCTCTGCCCCCACCCTCAGGGGCTCCTTAGAGCACCACGTGGAGCAGCCAGGGCTCTGGTCTTCCTAGAGGAGCCATGCTCCCCGACTCCTACCAACACCCAGCCACCCCTTACCGGCCCACTACCCCCTCCTCCACCAGGCCCCCCCCCACCCGGTAGTACACACATCTCGGAGGTTGAAGCATCTCTGCGGCCAAATCCCTCTCCCACACGCTACAGGCACCCAAACCACCCGAGTCGCCGCACAGCCCCAACACGCCCACCCAACAGGCTGCCCTCCCCACACCACCCCCCCCAGGCAGCCAGGACCCACCCGCAAGGGCTTGCGCCCCAGGCTCATGGGAGCGGCGGCACCCGGGTAGAGGGGCCCACAGGAGAGGCCACCACAGAGCCCACACAAATCTCTCTCCCCCCACCGTTTGTACCTCGCTCTAACCTCCACACTGGCCCAGCCCCTCGACCCCCACCTCCAACCCCCTCTCCCGGCCGGGTTCCCCACGAGTGGCCCCGTTGGGCAGCCATCACCCCCCACACACAGCTTGCCCGATCTGTTCCCACGGAGGGGGATGTTTCGAGGAGAGTGGGGATGCACACAGAGCACCCCCTGCCTGGCGAACCACCCATCCTCCCTCCACCCACCCCTTTGGCCCCACAGCCCCCCCTTCCTTCACAAACAGGCGCGGACAACCAGGTTGGCCGCCGGCGGAAGAACAGGGGCAGAGGAGGCAGAGGGTCAGCCCACGTACTCCCCCCTCCCTCCCTCCCCCACCAAGAGCCCCTCCCCACCTCACATCCCGTTGAACAATTACCAGGCCCTACCTCTACAGCCCGACCACCAAACCTACACTCCCGCCCCGCTCCTGCACCTCCACAGGGCCATGGGAGCGGACCAGCCCACTCACCCCCATTCTGCCCCTCCCGTGCTGTGTCCCCCTCCCAGGTGGCGGCGGCCGCGATCGCTACTGGGAGGGGGGCCGTCGGGTTGAGGGATGCGCCCATGGCAGACGCCACCGACTCCCCCTCCCATCCCTCCCACCCCTTCCATGTCGACGACCCCCTACCGCAACCCATGGTGATTGGGGAGGGCCAAGGGGGCCTTCTAGGGCAGGGTCCACACCCGAGCTCCGCTCAGCCAGCACGCCCCACTCCACCCTCTACCCTGCCAGCCCTCCTACTCTCACCTACAGGCAGGCAGGTCTTCGAGACCCCAGAGGAGGTGAGGGCTGGCATTTCAGATTTGCTGGCGATACACCGCCTGAGCAGCTCTCCGGCTGCCCCCACCCTTCCAGTCCCACAGGACCGGACCCGGACGTATGCGGAGGTCACCCGGTCTGTCCCTTCTTTTATCCCCCCCGCCACTCAGCCAGGCGCGTCACTCCCGACCCCAATGGAGACGGACCGGGGTCTGAGGCCGTGTCACTCGCACCTAGACGGGGTGGCGCCTCCCCCCGTTCAGCCCGTGGCGCAGGAGGTCACCAGCAGTAGGGATGAGGCTATCCGCCCCTACCGAGACCCCTCCGCCTGGGGTAGCAGAGCCGTCACTTGAACCGCACCCCGCCGAGGGGCAGGAGCACACCACGGCACACACTTCAGGCTCACCTCCACGTCCCCCCTCCCCAGCTTCAACACCGGTACCGGCACGAGGCCCGGCCCTATCCTGTGCGACACCACCTCTATCTTCGCTGACACCCCCCCCGCGCGGGGCTGGTGAGTCGTCTCCTCCCCTCATCCCAGGCGATCCTGCTCGGAGCTCAGGCCGCCCACGGGGTCCCCTCTACAGCCAGTTCCGACGCCACGGCCCCGATTGACCCCGCCGACACGGCGACATCACCCGACCAGGTCGTGAGTTGCCCCACCTGCAGGAGCTCTCTCGCGAACCGACGCGCGCTCCAGCACCACATTCCCTTCTGCCATCCTGCGGACGCGGCTCGCAGGGCGCAGGCTGCCCATGATACCGCCTCGATCATCCCTTCCCTCTCACAGCCCCGTGCGACCGGGATGCAGTTCACCGACGCACAGTGGCAGACGCTCGACTCGGTGGACTGGACAGAGTACTTCTCGCCCGAGCGTATCCATACACGCCCTCTCCGACGTGTCCCGGAGAGGGTCCGCGGAGGATATCTTGACGTCCTCAGTGCGATCCTAGTCCGCATTGCCCAGGACCCGGAGGCTGCTGGCCCTACCTTCCTCCTCGCTGCAGCGCCGACTCTTTTCCTTGTTCCAGCGACGCCACCCGACCGCTCGCACACGGCTGCCATTGCAACGCGCATCTCTCGCTTTGGTCGAGGTGAGTGGGCTGAGCTAGTCTCAGATGCACTAGGCCGTCGCACACCCCTTCCTCGCCGCACAGGTCACCGGTCACGCACCGCCACCGATCCCTCTGCAGCAGATGAGCGCCGCATTGCACGTTGCCTTCGTCTGGCAGCGTGCAATGAGACCTCACGGGCGTGCGCGGCTCTCGAGTCCGCGGAGGCAGCCCCAGATACACAGGGGACGATACAGCGCCTGCAGTCGAAGCACCCCAACGCGGAGAGGCCGACCCCAGCTTGGCTGTCTGGCTTCCAGGGGTCCCCTCTCGTGCTCTCGGTGGATCACTTACGCCGCGCGATTTTCACAGCTCCGCGGGGCTCTTCGGGAGGACCGTCCGGTTGGGTCGCTGAGCACCTGCGAGACACTTTCCTAGCTTTCCCTCAGAGTCTCCATTTCCTCCTGGCCGTGTACCAGCAGTGGCTCCGAGGCCGTTGCGCTCCAGCTGCGCGCTCCTTGCTAGCGTCCTCCACCCTCGTGGCTCTGGCGAAGTCGAACATGGATGTTCGGCCGATTGCCATCGGCGAGGTTTTGGTCCGCATTCTTTCTCGGGCAGTTTGTCTCCAGCTACGTGACCAGATGGCGAGGGTCTTCTTGGCATCACAGCAGTTTGGGGTGGGGGTTACGTGCGGGACAGAGGTCGTAGTTAGAGGCGTCCGCCGCGCTCTGGCTGACCACCCAGACTGGGTGGTCCTGCAGCTAGACGTGGCGAATGCCTTTAACTCTTTCCACCGAGACAGGATGTTTCAGGCGCTGCAGGCCAGTCCGGAGTTTCAGTGTCTGATCCCCTTCATCGGCCTCTTCTACGGGACGCCCTCGGATCTCCACTACAGGTCAGGCACGGGAGTGGTCACGATGCACTCGGAGCGGGGCACTCGCCAGGGAGACCCTCTCAGCCCCTTCTTGTACGCTCTGACACAGCGTCTTGCTTTGGAGCCGGTTCTGGCGGAGGGGGATGTCCAGCTCTGGTCGTACGCCGATGACACGTACGTGCTAGGTCCCCCAGACAGGGTGCTGCACCATTTTGCCGAGATCGTGAGGCGCTTGGGCGAGATGGGCCTTGCAGCCCAGCCGCACAAGTGCCTCGTCTACCAGACAGAGTCCTTTCTGTCCAGGGATCTGGAGGCTTTCACGGGCCTAGGGATCGAGGTCGCACGCCGAGGGCTCACCGTGACAGGCGTACCGGTAGGCACCGTTTCGTTCGTGGAGCAGAGTCTCCCGGATCGTCTCGAGAGGATGGGGCGGGTGCTACCTTGGCTTCCGAGGTTGCGCCAGCCCCAGACAGCTGCCCGCCTTCTTTCGGCGTGTGTCAGCACTCGTCCGCAGTACCTGTCGAGGACCGTCCCTCCTTCGCCCGCAGTGATCTCCAGTTTTACACGGTGGGACGCACGCCTGGGAGAGACTTTTCAGCAGCTTTTAGCTTCAGGGACCTGGGCTTGTCGCGAGGACGTCCGAGAGGCCGCCCTAGACCAGATCTTCCTCCCCATCCGTCTCGGGGGTTTCGGCATTCGTCGCATGGCGCGCATTGCCCCGGTGAGTTTCGTGTGCTCCTGGGTGCAGTGTGCACCCATTCTCTGTTCTCTCCCTGCGTGTGGCGAGGTGTTTCGGCAGAGCTTCGCTTCAGGTGAGCCAGAGCAGATCGACCGGGCTCTGCAGACGGCGCTAGAGGGTCTCCCTCCTGACGTTCTCTCTCTCCTTCCCCCCTGGCCCTCTTGCGCTTCTGCCTCCCCCGATTCCCTTTTTGCAGGAGCGAGCCGTCTTCTGGAGGCGCATGCCTTGGAGGCCGTGCGTGCCCGTCACACCTCTCCCTTGCACCTTGCCCGTTTGACTTCCCTTCAGGGCGGAGGTGCAGGAGCGTGGTTGACGTCGGTGCCGTACGCCGACCCACTGCGCATCCCGGAGGCGCTGTGGCAGGCGGCTTCATCTTCTCGTCTTGGTCTCCCTATCCCCCAGTTAGCCCTTGCAGGTCAGTGCTCCTGCGGACAGGCGATTGACGACATGACGGTGCCTCATCACGCGGTTCGGTGCCCGCGTTACGGGGTCGCCACTACCATCCACGACACGGTGAAGTACATGCTTCGAGACTTTGCGGTCGAGGCGGGCTTCGCGGTAAAGGTGGAGGACTCTACGCTGTTCACACAGTTGGAGGCGGCTCGAGCGAGACTACTGGGACAGCCAGTGGTGGGAGAGGGGACACGGGCTGAGGGACCGGGGGAGCGGAGAGGCGAGGCGGGACAGCCGGGTGGCGGGGGACAGTGGGGACGGCACCAGCTGCGGGGTCAGGTGGAGCGAGGGACAGGTGGGCAGAGGGGACGGCAGGGGGAGCAGACGGGCCAGGACGGGGAGGGGGGACGGCACAGGCAGCAGCAGGAGAGCCAGTGGAGGCCGCGGGCCCAGGGCGCCGCGCCTCCAGGTTCGGCCTCGGGGGCGGGGCAGGGGCGGGAGCAGCAGAGAGCGGACGGAGGTACAGGAGGGGCAGCGGGATTGGGAGGGGAGGGCCAGGGAGTGAGAGAGGCAGCAGGGGATGGAGCAGGGGGGTCGGGAGGTTTGGGGGAGGGTAGGGAGGGGGAGGGGAGAGGACAGGTGGATGGAGGAGAGGAGAGGGGGAGAGAGACGATCGGAGAGGGGGCACCAAGGGACCAGACAGGGCAGCAGCCAGCGCAACAGCAGGGACCAGTCGGACGCACAGGCCGTGTAGGCACCGCCTCCCGCATTCCAGACCTCACCTGCCGCGACGTTGGCCAGGGTCTGATGGTTCTTGTGGATGTCTCCATAGCGGATCCACAGCGGGAGGGGAACGTGCAGCTGAGACGGGCGACCCCCACACAGATTGGAGTGGCAGCAGCTAGGCGGGTGCAGGAGAAGCTGCGTCACTGGGGGCCGCACTTAGAGGGGCTGCAGCCGGCACCACACTTTTACGCGTGCGTGGCGGAGACCTTTGGCCTTCTGAGTGAGCCGCTGCGTCAGTTTCTGGGGCTCTGCGCAAAGAGGATAGCACAGCGGAGGAGGGATAGAGGTGGGGGGGATGACGGATCGGCACGGATATTTGAGGCAGGACTCACTACACGCCTCTCCGTTGCACTGCAGCGCGCGCAGGCTCAATGCATGATCCAGCATGCGGTGCGGCAGTTAGGGAGGTCCGACGACGGGTGGATGCCCGCACCAGTCCCACTGGGTGCGGGGCAGGGAACTTGGCACCACGTCACAGGGTGCTTCGAGAGTGTGGCTGATATGCAGTATATATATGATGCATATGTGTAAAAAACAATAGTGGCTGTGCTTGAAACGCTGTGCCCGTGCGGTCGTGCGGGTTGCTGCCGTGTTTGGTCCTTTGGTGCTTCCTTCTCCTTAGTCTCTCTCTCTCTCTCCTCTTCTCTTCCCACCTCCCTCTTTCTGTTCCCTTCTTCTATCCTTCCCTTCTCTTCCTACCACCCTCTTCCTTTCCCTACCACTTCTTCTTACTCCTTCATCTTTCCTTCCTTTCCTTTCTTTCCCCCTTTTCCTACAAAATATATAAATCGTCCTCATAGCGCTTAGGCTATGTCGAAATTTCCTAGTCTTGGAAAAACCATTATATTCGGCTTGTATTTGCTCTTCCCTTATTAATGAATAACTGCTCTCGCCCACCGGCGCTTAGCTTCGGAGTTCTGATGGGATCCGGCGTAGTAGCCGAGGTATGATCGTACCACGTCAACCTCGTGCCCCGACCGCTACACACCCCTTGCCCGGGTCCCCCCCTTCATAGTCACACCCCCTGCCCCCTCATGCCATCCGCTCCCCCCGCCCCTACCCTCCGCGTGCCCGCTCCCTTGCCGCCTCTTTTGACCCTCCCTGCCCCCCCTCGCCGTTTCCCACCGCCCGCCATTCGCTCCTCCCCGCCCGTGCGCTCCCCTCCTTTACCTTCTCCTCCCCCCTCCCCTCCTCTGCTGCACGCCTCTTCCTTCCCCTCGCCGACCCACTCCACTCCCTGCCCCTCCTCAATCCGCACCCTGCCCCTCGTATCTCGCCCCCCTATGCTTGGTTTCTCCCCTCCCTGCCCCTCGCCGCCTTTCCCCGCTCCCCACCTCCCCCCTCTCCCTGCCCCCCCCACTCTCCCCCCCCCCCTTGTCCTTGGCTTCCTACCTCCCTGCCTCACCTTTCCCCCCTCCGTGTGCTCAGCTTCTCCCCTCCCTGCCCCTCCCTCCTCCCCGCCCTGCCCCTCATTTTCCGCCCCCCCCCCCCCCCACGCCCGGTTTCTCCCCTCCCCGCGCCTCCCTTTCTTTCTCCGTGCCTCTCCTTTGCTCCCTCCCTGCCCCCGCCTGCCCATGCCCCTGTCTTTGGCTTCTCCCCTCCCTGCCCCACGTTTCTTCCCTCCCTGCCCCCCGTCTGCCCCTCCCTTGTTTTCCCCTCACCCATTGCTTCTCTCCTCCCTGCCCTTGATTTCCCACACCCCTGCCCTCGTTTCCTATCATCCATGCCCCTCGTTTCCCCCCTTTGTACGTTCAGCCTCTTCCCTCCCTGCCCCTCCCTTCCTCCCCCCCTGCCCTTTGCTCTCCCCTCGTTACGCTCCCTTCTCCCCATCCCTGCTGCCCTCTTACCACCATCAGCCCATCCCCACGACCAGCCCCCCTCCCACCCTTCAATCCCCCCCTCCCTCTCTCTCTCTCTCTCTCTCTCTCTCTCTCTCTTTCTCACACACACACACACACGCACACTCCCCTCCCCCACCCCCCCCCACCTACATCCTCCCATTCTGCCCCTCCCTGCCCCTTTCCCACCCCCTCGCACGCCCCTCACCTCCCACCTCCGTGCAACTGGTTTCCCCCCTATGGTGCCACCCTTGCATCGCTCGCCCCTCTGCTCACCCTCTGCCCGCCCCTTTTCCGTGCCCTCAGTTGGCCCAGCCCCTGCCCGTTGCTGCCCCTCCCCTTGCCCCCTCAACTCCCCTGCCCCCCGTACACCCCAAGTCCCATCCAACCGCCCCCACCCTCCCCCGGCTGCCCGTTTCCGCTCTCCACCCCCGCGACCGTGTGCGGCTTCCAACCGCCCAACGGTGGTGCGCACGGGGCGTTTCTTCGCATGGGCAAGCCTCCCCGGGGGCCCCCCACCCCGCTGGGTCGTTGTTTGGGCAAAAAAACGAAAAGAAAAGAATCGGACGCGCTAAAATCGTCCTTTCTTTTTCCCGCTTGCCCCTCCCCCGGCACGTGCCGAGCAAGGGGCATAAATGGGTACAACACGAGGACTTCCCGGGAGGTCACCCAGCCCAGTACTGCTCTCGCCCACCGGCGCTTAGCTTCGGAGTTCTGATGGGATCCGGCGTAGTAGCCGAGGTATGATCGTACCACGTCAACCTCGTGCCCCGACCGCTACACACCCTTGCCCGGGTCCCCCCCCTTCATAGTCACACCCCCTGCCCCCTCATGCCATCCGCTCCCCCCGCCCCTACCCTCCGCGTGCCCGCTCCCTTGCCGCCTCTTTTGACCCTCCCTGCCCCCCCTCGCCGTTTCCCACCGCCCGCCATTCGCTCCTCCCCGCCCGTGCGCTCCCCTCCTTTACCTTCTCCTCCCCCCTCCCCTCCTCTGCTGCACGCCTCTTCCTTCCCCTCGCCGACCCACTCCACTCCCTGCCCCTCCTCAATCCGCACCCTGCCCCTCGTATCTCGCCCCCCTATGCTTGGTTTCTCCCCTCCCTGCCCCTCGCCGCCTTTCCCCGCTCCCCACCTCCCCCCTCTCCCTGCCCCCCCCACTCTCCCCCCCCCCTTGTCCTTGGCTTCCTACCTCCCTGCCTCACCTTTCCCCCTCCGTGTGCTCAGCTTCTCCCCTCCCTGCCCCTCCCTCCTCCCCGCCCTGCCCCTCATTTTCCGCCCCCCCCCCCCCCACGCCCGGTTTCTCCCCTCCCCGCGCCTCCCTTTCTTTCTCCGTGCCTCTCCTTTGCTCCCTCCCTGCCCCCGCCTGCCCATGCCCCTGTCTTTGGCTTCTCCCCTCCCTGCCCCACGTTTCTTCCCTCCCTGCCCCCCGTCTGCCCCTCCCTTGTTTTCCCCTCACCCATTGCTTCTCTCCTCCCTGCCCTTGATTTCCCACACCCCTGCCCTCGTTTCCTATCATCCATGCCCCTCGTTTCCCCCCTTTGTACGTTCAGCCTCTTCCCTCCCTGCCCCTCCCTTCCTCCCCCCCTGCCCTTTGCTCTCCCCTCGTTACGCTCCCTTCTCCCCATCCCTGCTGCCCTCTTACCACCCCAAGCAGGCCATTCTCCCACGACCAGCCCCCGCTCCCTACCCTTCAATCCCCCCGCCGCGCTCTCTCTCGTGCGTCTCCTCTCTTGCCACTTTCATACCACCTCCCCCTTCTCCCCCCCCCCGGCTTCTCCCTATCATCACCCGCATGTTCCCCCACTCCCCTGTCCACAACGTCCCTCCACCCCCCTTCCTGCTTTCCCCACTCCCACTCTGCCCCCCACACCTCTACGAGCCGTACTTCCCCCTCCAGCCTCCCTTTCCCCCCCAGCTACTTCCGCATCCAGCGTGGGCTGCACCTCTGCATCCCGCCCTGCCAGGCCCTTCGGTGACCCAACTGCCGCCACCTGGCACCACGCCGCCTTTCCCACCCCCATCCAATCTCTACACCCCCTGCCCCTGCTCCCTGCGCAATCCAGCCACCTACCCCAGCCTCCCTCTACCTCTCCCTAACTCCACACCGCCGTTCCTACCCCCAGCCAAGGTCTACACCCCTTGCTTTTGCTCCCTGGGCTGTGCCGTCCCCAACCTCCCTCCGCCTTTCCGCGGCACCAGACCGCCTCTCCCTCCCCCAGCCAACCTTTGCACCCCCTGTTCCTGCCCCTTGTGCCCTCCAACACCCTACCTCAACCCCCCCCAGTCTCCCCCTTCTCCAACACCCTCCATATTTCCTCCCCCCTGGGGCTCGCCCATCCGCAGCTATCACCCTTCATCGATTCCCCAATTCCCTCTGTCCCCTGTTTCCCGGCCCCGCATCCTATTCCTGCATTTACCACAGCACCTCCTTTCGGTGCCCTCTCTGCCCTCCCACGTTCTCACCCCCCGCCTCCCAACCTTCTCATTACCCGCTACCAGGCTCACGCCAACTCGACTACCCACTACCCTTTGCCCCTTCCTCTCTGTTCCCCACCCTTCCTTTCCCACCTGGCTCCACCTGCCCACCCCCACCTCCCGTGGAATTCTGCCCTGCCCTCCCCACCTCTGGCCCACCACCTGTCCCCACACCCTGCTCACCCACCGCTACACCACCCCCGCCCCCCCACCTCCACTACAGCCCGCCAACACTTCCCCTCTCAATCGGCCCCCAGCCCGCCCCCCCCTTGGGCCCCAATCCCCTCCAACCTGTCAGGCCCCCTCTACCCTCTCTTCCACCCACTGCGCACCGCTTTCCCCACCCTTTTCCCCTTTCCCCAAGCTAACCCCCCGCACCCCGGCCTCTGCCAGGGAGTTCCTTCCCCCTTTGACGCCCTCTTGAGCCAACCCCAGCAACTCACACCGCCACCGCCAGGCATGCTGCCTCTGTAACAATGCCCCAGCACCCCGCGAGTGGGGGAAAGGCAGGCCCGGGAGCCCCTCGGCGATCTGGGAGGTCCCGCAGCCGAGCCACCCCCTACTCTCCCACTCCCCCCACTTCAACAGTCAGGAAGAAACAACACACACCTGACCAAGCGAAAACACTCACACAATCTGACCCTAGGGGCCAGAAGCGTACCTTTGAAGAGGATGGAACAGAGGAACGCCAAGCCCCACTGGAGGAAATACACGAGGAGGAGCCAGCACGCTCAAAACCGCGCCCTACCCCCGCTGCCCCATCCCAGTCTACCCCCCCTTCAGGTGACAGCGGGGGCGGCACCCATGCATGCTCAGTAGAGAGATCCTCCAACTCACTCGCTACCTCCCATTCGCAAACCAGATTACTTGTGAAAACACTTAATCCTACCCGCACCCCCAAGCACATAGAAGCGGGAGAGGGCAGAGCCAGGGGGGAACTTGCAGCTGACACTGCACGGGAAGGGGTAAGTGAGTTTGTGTGTGAAGGAGCAGCAGAGGCTACAGAGGATGGGGCAGCAAAGGCTGCACGGGAAGGGGCAATGGGGGTTGTGGGGGAAGGGGCAGCAGAGGCTGCAGAGGAAAGGGCAGCAGAGGCTGCAAGGGAAGGGGCAGCAGCGGCTGCACGGGAAAGGGCGGCAGGGGCTGCACGGGAAGGGGCGGCAGGGACCGTGACTCTGGCCAGGCAAAGGGCAGAGGCCATGGAGACAGGTTTTGCAGGAGTAGGGGCCACGGAACCTGCTGCTGTGTCGGCTGGGGGAACCGCAGCAGAGGAGGCTATAGGGACCGCACCAGGTGAGGCCGCACAGACCACAGCAGGTGTGGCTGCAGGGATCACAACGGGTGAGGCTGCAGGAGGGACCATGGCAGGTGAGGCCGCAGGGAGCGCAGTAGGTGAGGCTGCGGGGAGCGCAGCAGGTGAGGCTGTAGGGGGCGCAGCAGGTGAGGCTGCAGAGAGCGCAGCAGGTGAGGCCGCAGGGAGCGCAGCAAGCGAGGCTGCAGGGAGCGCAGCAGGCGAGGCTGCAGGGAGCGCAGCAGGCGGGACTGCAGGGGCCACAGCAGGTGAGGCTGCGGCGGACGCAGCAGGTGAGGCTGCGAGGGCTGCATCATGTAAGGTTGGGCAGACTCTAGCAGGTGAGGCTGCACAGTCTACAGCTGGTGAGGTCGCATGGACTGCAACAGGTGAGGCCGCAGGGACTGCAGCAGGTGAGGCGGCAGGGACCACAGCGGATGAGGCTGCAGGCGGGACCATGGCAGGTGAGGCCGCAGGGAGCGCAGCAGGTGAGGCTGAAATAGCCGCAGCAGGTGAGGCTGCAGAGGCCGCAGCATGTGAGGTTGAGCAGATTCTAGCAGGTGAGGCTGCACAGACTGCAGCAGGTGAGGCCGCAGGGACTGCAGCGGGTGAGGCTGCAGGGACTGCAGCACGTGAGGCTGCAGGGACTGCAGCACGTGAGGCTACAGGGATCGCGGCTGGTGAGGCTGAGCAGATTACGGTAGGCGAGGTTTTACAGACTGCAGCAGTCGAGGCTGCAAGGACTGCAGCAGGAGCGACAGAGGCCACAGCGGGGGCTGGTATAGGGGGAGGTGCTACGGGTGCAGCGGGGAAGGGGGTAACGGGGACTGGTGCGAGGGAGAGTGCCGCCCCGGCTGTAGCAAGAGAGGGTACGGCAGGGGCCTCAAAGGCAGAAGGTGAGGCTGCAGCTGAAGCAGCAGGGAGGGCCATAGCACGGCCAGTAGGGGCGGCAGGGGCCGCAGCAAACTCGGGGAAACACACAGCAGGGCCGGCAGGGCCGGCAGAGACTGCAAAAGGGGCTAGCAGTAAAGCGGCAGCAGGCGGGGTGGGCTTGGGGGACATAGGGGCAACAGGGGAAGGAGAGGGGAGGGTGGTCCCGACCGGGGTGGGCACTGAAGAGGGGGATGTGATAGCGATAGAGGAGGATGAGGGAGAGGATGTGATGCACATTGACGGGCCACTGGCCCAATACCTCACGCTTGACGGTGAGGCCGACCCGGCCCCCCTGCAGCCTCACGTCGAGGTTCCCCCTCTACCCCCCATGCCCGTCCCCATGCTAGCAGAAGGACCGATGGAGGGGCTGGGGGAGACCTTGAGGACAGAGCCGCGCGAGGGAGCCCCCATCCTCACCTCCCGTCCTCCAGCCCACCAGCCCCCAGGAGCACCACTTCCCCACCCCCACCCTCAGGTCCCGGTAGTGTCCAGGGGGGCAGCCAAGGCCCTGGCCTTCTTGGCGGAGCCGTGCTCCCCGACCCCCACGCTGCTCCATGGCCAGCCCCCCTCTCCGTCCCCAACGCCTGACCCCACGGTTGCAGGCGGTCCACCGGGAGAGCACGCGGGTGCGACAAGAGCAGAGTCACCCGAGGGCACCCCTTCTCTCACCTCTCACCCCTCCCCGCCCCTTCCCTCACTCCTTCCTTCACCCCCAAGGGCAGCACACCTCTGCCCCCACCCTCAGGGGCTCCTTAGAGCACCACGTGGAGCAGCCAGGGCTCTGGTCTTCCTAGAGGAGCCATGCTCCCCGACTCCTACCAACACCCAGCCACCCCCTTACCGGCCCACTACCCCCTCCTCCACCAGGCCCCCCCCCACCCGGTAGTACACACATCTCGGAGGTTGAAGCATCTCTGCGGCCAAATCCCTCTCCCACACGCTACAGGCACCCAAACCACCCGAGTCGCCGCACAGCCCCAACACGCCCACCCAACAGGCTGCCCTCCCCACACCACCCCCCCCAGGCAGCCGAGACCCACCCGCAAGGGCTTGCGCCCCAGGCTCATGGGAGCGGCGGCACCCGGGTAGAGGGGCCCACAGGAGAGGCCACCACAGAGCCCACACAAATCTCTCTCCCCCCACCGTTTGTACCTCGCTCTAACCTCCACACTGGCCCAGCCCCTCGACCCCCACCTCCAACCCCCTCTCCCGGCCGGGTTCCCCACGAGTGGCCCCGTTGGGCAGCCATCACCCCCCACACACAGCTTGCCCGATCTGTTCCCACGGAGGGGGATGTTTCGAGGAGAGTGGGGATGCACACAGAGCACCCCCCTGCCTGGCGAACCACCCATCCTCCCTCCACCCACCCCTTTGGCCCCACAGCCCCCCCTTCCTTCACAAACAGGCGCGGACAACCAGGTTGGCCGCCGGCGGAAGAACAGGGGCAGAGGAGGCAGAGGGTCAGCCCACGTACTCCCCCCTCCCTCCCTCCCCCACCAAGAGCCCCTCCCCACCTCACATCCCGTTGAACAATTACCAGGCCCTACCTCTACAGCCCGACCACCAAACCTACACTCCCGCCCCGCTCCTGCACCTCCACAGGGCCATGGGAGCGGACCAGCCCACTCACCCCCATTCTGCCCCTCCCGTGCTGTGTCCCCCTCCCAGGTGGCGGCGGCCGCGATCGCTACTGGGAGGGGGGCCGTCGGGTTGAGGGATGCGCCCATGGCAGACGCCACCGACTCCCCCTCCCATCCCTCCCACCCCTTCCATGTCGACGACCCCCTACCGCAACCCATGGTGATTGGGGAGGGCCAAGGGGGCCTTCTAGGGCAGGGTCCACACCCGAGCTCCGCTCAGCCAGCACGCCCCACTCCACCCTCTACCCTGCCAGCCCTCCTACTCTCACCTACAGGCAGGCAGGTCTTCGAGACCCCAGAGGAGGTGAGGGCTGGCATTTCAGATTTGCTGGCGATACACCGCCTGAGCAGCTCTCCGGCTGCCCCCACCCTTCCAGTCCCACAGGACCGGACCCGGACGTATGCGGAGGTCACCCGGTCTGTCCCTTCTTTTATCCCCCCCGCCACTCAGCCAGGCGCGTCACTCCCGACCCCAATGGAGACGGACCGGGGTCTGAGGCCGTGTCACTCGCACCTAGACGGGGTGGCGCCTCCCCCCGTTCAGCCCGTGGCGCAGGAGGTCACCAGCAGTAGGGATGAGGCATCCGCCCCTACCGAGACCCCTCCGCCTGGGGTAGCAGAGCCGTCACTTGAACCGCACCCCGCCGAGGGGCAGGAGCACACCACGGCACACACTTCAGGCTCACCTCCACGTCCCCCCTCCCCAGCTTCAACACCGGTACCGGCACGAGGCCCGGCCCTATCCTGTGCGACACCACCTCTATCTTCGCTGACACCCCCCCCGCGCGGGGCTGGTGAGTCGTCTCCTCCCCTCATCCCAGGCGATCCTGTCGGAGCTCAGGCCGCCCACGGGGTCCCCTCTACAGCCAGTTCCGACGCCACGGCCCCGATTGACCCCGCCGACACGGCGACATCACCCGACCAGGTCGTGAGTTGCCCCACCTGCAGGAGCTCTCTCGCGAACCGACGCGCGCTCCAGCACCACATTCCCTTCTGCCATCCTGCGGACGCGGCTCGCAGGGCGCAGGCTGCCCATGATACCGCCTCGATCATCCCTTCCCTCTCACAGCCCCGTGCGACCGGGATGCAGTTCACCGACGCACAGTGGCAGACGCTCGACTCGGTGGACTGGACAGAGTACTTCTCGCCCGAGCGTATCCATACACGCCCTCTCCGACGTGTCCCGGAGAGGGTCCGCGGAGGATATCTTGACGTCCTCAGTGCGATCCTAGTCCGCATTGCCCAGGACCCGGAGGCTGCTGGCCCTACCTTCCTCCTCGCTGCAGCGCCGACTCTTTTCCTTGTTCCAGCGACGCCACCCGACCGCTCGCACACGGCTGCCATTGCAACGCGCATCTCTCGCTTTGGTCGAGGTGAGTGGGCTGAGCTAGTCTCAGATGCACTAGGCCGTCGCACACCCCTTCCTCGCCGCACAGGTCACCGGTCACGCACCGCCACCGATCCCTCTGCAGCAGATGAGCGCCGCATTGCACGTTGCCTTCGTCTGGCAGCGTGCAATGAGACCTCACGGGCGTGCGCGGCTCTCGAGTCCGCGGAGGCAGCCCCAGATACACAGGGGACGATACAGCGCCTGCAGTCGAAGCACCCCAACGCGGAGAGGCCGACCCCAGCTTGGCTGTCTGGCTTCCAGGGGTCCCCTCTCGTGCTCTCGGTGGATCACTTACGCCGCGCGATTTTCACAGCTCCGCGGGGCTCTTCGGGAGGACCGTCCGGTTGGGTCGCTGAGCACCTGCGAGACACTTTCCTAGCTTTCCCTCAGAGTCTCCATTTCCTCCTGGCCGTGTACCAGCAGTGGCTCCGAGGCCGTTGCGCTCCAGCTGCGCGCTCCTTGCTAGCGTCCTCCACCCTCGTGGCTCTGGCGAAGTCGAACATGGATGTTCGGCCGATTGCCATCGGCGAGGTTTTGGTCCGCATTCTTTCTCGGGCAGTTTGTCTCCAGCTACGTGACCAGATGGCGAGGGTCTTCTTGGCATCACAGCAGTTTGGGGTGGGGGTTACGTGCGGGACAGAGGTCGTAGTTAGAGGCGTCCGCCGCGCTCTGGCTGACCACCCAGACTGGGTGGTCCTGCAGCTAGACGTGGCGAATGCCTTTAACTCTTTCCACCGAGACAGGATGTTTCAGGCGCTGCAGGCCAGTCCGGAGTTTCAGTGTCTGATCCCCTTCATCGGCCTCTTCTACGGGACGCCCTCGGATCTCCACTACAGGTCAGGCACGGGAGTGGTCACGATGCACTCGGAGCGGGGCACTCGCCAGGGAGACCCTCTCAGCCCCTTCTTGTACGCTCTGACACAGCGTCTTGCTTTGGAGCCGGTTCTGGCGGAGGGGGATGTCCAGCTCTGGTCGTACGCCGATGACACGTACGTGCTAGGTCCCCCAGACAGGGTGCTGCACCATTTTGCCGAGATCGTGAGGCGCTTGGGCGAGATGGGCCTTGCAGCCCAGCCGCACAAGTGCCTCGTCTACCAGACAGAGTCCTTTCTGTCCAGGGATCTGGAGGCTTTCACGGGCCTAGGGATCGAGGTCGCACGCCGAGGGCTCACCGTGACAGGCGTACCGGTAGGCACCGTTTCGTTCGTGGAGCAGAGTCTCCCGGATCGTCTCGAGAGGATGGGGCGGGTGCTACCTTGGCTTCCGAGGTTGCGCCAGCCCCAGACAGCTGCCCGCCTTCTTTCGGCGTGTGTCAGCACTCGTCCGCAGTACCTGTCGAGGACCGTCCCTCCTTCGCCCGCAGTGATCTCCAGTTTTACACGGTGGGACGCACGCCTGGGAGAGACTTTTCAGCAGCTTTTAGCTTCAGGGACCTGGGCTTGTCGCGAGGACGTCCGAGAGGCCGCCCTAGACCAGATCTTCCTCCCCATCCGTCTCGGGGGTTTCGGCATTCGTCGCATGGCGCGCATGGCCCCGGTGAGTTTCGTGTGCTCCTGGGTGCAGTGTGCACCCATTCTCTGTTCTCTCCCTGCGTGTGGCGAGGTGTTTCGGCAGAGCTTCGCTTCAGGTGAGCCAGAGCAGATCGACCGGGCTCTGCAGACGGCGCTAGAGGGTCTCCCTCCTGACGTTCTCTCTCTCCTTCCCCCCTGGCCCTCTTGCGCTTCTGCCTCCCCCGATTCCCTTTTTGCAGGAGCGAGCCGTCTTCTGGAGGCGCATGCCTTGGAGGCCGTGCGTGCCCGTCACACCTCTCCCTTGCACCTTGCCCGTTTGACTTCCCTTCAGGGCGGAGGTGCAGGAGCGTGGTTGACGTCGGTGCCGTACGCCGACCCACTGCGCATCCCGGAGGCGCTGTGGCAGGCGGCTTCATCTTCTCGTCTTGGTCTCCCTATCCCCCAGTTAGCCCTTGCAGGTCAGTGCTCCTGCGGACAGGCGATTGACGACATGACGGTGCCTCATCACGCGGTTCGGTGCCCGCGTTACGGGGTCGCCACTACCATCCACGACACGGTGAAGTACATGCTTCGAGACTTTGCGGTCGAGGCGGGCTTCGCGGTAAAGGTGGAGGACTCTACGCTGTTCACACAGTTGGAGGCGGCTCGAGCGAGACTACTGGGACAGCCAGTGGTGGGAGAGGGGACACGGGCTGAGGGACCGGGGGAGCGGAGAGGCGAGGCGGGACAGCCGGGTGGCGGGGGACAGTGGGGACGGCACCAGCTGCGGGGTCAGGTGGAGCGAGGGACAGGTGGGCAGAGGGGACGGCAGGGGGAGCAGACGGGCCAGGACGGGGAGGGGGGACGGCACAGGCAGCAGCAGGAGAGCCAGTGGAGGCCGCGGGCCCAGGGCGCCGCGCCTCCAGGTTCGGCCTCGGGGGCGGGGCAGGGGCGGGAGCAGCAGAGAGCGGACGGAGGTACAGGAGGGGCAGCGGGATTGGGAGGGGAGGGCCAGGGAGTGAGAGAGGCAGCAGGGGATGGAGCAGGGGGGTCGGGAGGTTTGGGGGAGGGTAGGGAGGGGGAGGGGAGAGGACAGGTGGATGGAGGAGAGGAGAGGGGGAGAGAGACGATCGGAGAGGGGGCACCAAGGGACCAGACAGGGCAGCAGCCAGCGCAACAGCAGGGACCAGTCGGACGCACAGGCCGTGTAGGCACCGCCTCCCGCATTCCAGACCTCACCTGCCGCGACGTTGGCCAGGGTCTGATGGTTCTTGTGGATGTCTCCATAGCGGATCCACAGCGGGAGGGGAACGTGCAGCTGAGACGGGCGACCCCCACACAGATTGGAGTGGCAGCAGCTAGGCGGGTGCAGGAGAAGCTGCGTCACTGGGGGCCGCACTTAGAGGGGCTGCAGCCGGCACCACACTTTTACGCGTGCGTGGCGGAGACCTTTGGCCTTCTGAGTGAGCCGCTGCGTCAGTTTCTGGGGCTCTGCGCAAAGAGGATAGCACAGCGGAGGAGGGATAGAGGTGGGGGGGATGACGGATCGGCACGGATATTTGAGGCAGGACTCACTACACGCCTCTCCGTTGCACTGCAGCGCGCGCAGGCTCAATGCATGATCCAGCATGCGGTGCGGCAGTTAGGGAGGTCCGACGACGGGTGGATGCCCGCACCAGTCCCACTGGGTGCGGGGCAGGGAACTTGGCACCACGTCACAGGGTGCTTCGAGAGTGTGGCTGATATGCAGTATATATATGATGCATATGTGTAAAAAAACAATAGTGGCTGTGCTTGAAACGCTGTGCCCGTGCGGTCGTGCGGGTTGCTGCCGTGTTTGGTCCTTTGGTGCTTCCTTCTCCTTAGTCTCTCTCTCTCTCTCCTCTTCTCTTCCCACCTCCCTCTTTCTGTTCCCTTCTTCTATCCTTCCCTTCTCTTCCTACCACCCTCTTCCTTTCCCTACCACTTCTTCTTACTCCTTCATCTTTCCTTCCTTTCCTTTCTTTCCCCCTTTTCCTACAAAATATATAAATCGTCCTCATAGCGCTTAGGCTATGTCGAAATTTCCTAGTCTTGGAAAAACCATTATATTCGGCTTGTATTTGCTCTTCCCTTATTAATGAATAACTGCTCTCGCCCACCGGCGCTTAGCTTCGGAGTTCTGATGGGATCCGGCGTAGTAGCCGAGGTATGATCGTACCACGTCAACCTCGTGCCCCGACCGCTACACACCCCTTGCCCGGGTCCCCCCCTTCATAGTCACACCCCCTGCCCCCTCATGCCATCCGCTCCCCCCGCCCCTACCCTCCGCGTGCCCGCTCCCTTGCCGCCTCTTTTGACCCTCCCTGCCCCCCCTCGCCGTTTCCCACCGCCCGCCATTCGCTCCTCCCCGCCCGTGCGCTCCCCTCCTTTACCTTCTCCTCCCCCCTCCCCTCCTCTGCTGCACGCCTCTTCCTTCCCCTCGCCGACCCACTCCACTCCCTGCCCCTCCTCAATCCGCACCCTGCCCCTCGTATCTCGCCCCCCTATGCTTGGTTTCTCCCCTCCCTGCCCCTCGCCGCCTTTCCCCGCTCCCCACCTCCCCCCTCTCCCTGCCCCCCCCACTCTCCCCCCCCCCTTGTCCTTGGCTTCCTACCTCCCTGCCTCACCTTTCCCCCCTCCGTGTGCTCAGCTTCTCCCCTCCCTGCCCCTCCCTCCTCCCCGCCCTGCCCCTCATTTTCCGCCCCCCCCCCCCCACGCCCGGTTTCTCCCCTCCCCGCGCCTCCCTTTCTTTCTCCGTGCCTCTCCTTTGCTCCCTCCCTGCCCCCGCCTGCCCATGCCCCTGTCTTTGGCTTCTCCCCTCCCTGCCCCACGTTTCTTCCCTCCCTGCCCCCCGTCTGCCCCTCCCTTGTTTTCCCCTCACCCATTGCTTCTCTCCTCCCTGCCCTTGATTTCCCACACCCCTGCCCTCGTTTCCTATCATCCATGCCCCTCGTTTCCCCCCTTTGTACGTTCAGCCTCTTCCCTCCCTGCCCCTCCCTTCCTCCCCCCCTGCCCTTTGCTCTCCCCTCGTTACGCTCCCTTCTCCCCATCCCTGCTGCCCTCTTACCACCATCAGCCCATCCCCACGACCAGCCCCCCTCCCACCCTTCAATCCCCCCCTCCCTCTCTCTCTCTCTCTCTCTCTCTCTCTCTCTCTCTCTTTCTCACACACACACACACACGCACACTCCCCTCCCCCACCCCCCCCCACCTACATCCTCCCATTCTGCCCCTCCCTGCCCCTTTCCCACCCCCTCGCACGCCCCTCACCTCCCACCTCCGTGCAACTGGTTTCCCCCCTATGGTGCCACCCTTGCATCGCTCGCCCCTCTGCTCACCCTCTGCCCGCCCCTTTTCCGTGCCCTCAGTTGGCCCAGCCCCTGCCCGTTGCTGCCCCTCCCCTTGCCCCCTCAACTCCCCTGCCCCCCGTACACCCCAAGTCCCATCCAACCGCCCCCACCCTCCCCCGGCTGCCCGTTTCCGCTCTCCACCCCCGCGACCGTGTGCGGCTTCCAACCGCCCAACGGTGGTGCGCACGGGGCGTTTCTTCGCATGGGCAAGCCTCCCCGGGGGCCCCCCACCCCGCTGGGTCGTTGTTTGGGCAAAAAAACGAAAAGAAAAGAATCGGACGCGCTAAAATCGTCCTTTCTTTTTCCCGCTTGCCCCTCCCCCGGCACGTGCCGAGCAAGGGGCATAAATGGGTACAACACGAGGACTTCCCGGGAGGTCACCCAGCCCAGTACTGCTCTCGCCCACCGATAGTGGCTGTGCTTGAAACGCTGTGCCCGTGCGGTCGTGCGGGTTGCTGCCGTGTTTTGGTCCTTTGGTGCTTCCTCCTCCTTAGTCTCTCTCCCTCTCTCCTCTTTTCTTCCCACCTCCCTCTTTCTGTTCCCTTCTTCTATCCTTCCCTTCTCTTCCTACCGCCCTCTTCTTTTCCCTACCACTTCTTCTTACTCCTTCATCCTTCCTTCCTTTCCTTTCTTTCCCCCTTTTCCTACAAAATATATATACCGTCCTCATAGCGATTAGGCTATGTCGAAATTTCCTAGTCTTGGAAAAACCATTATATTCGGCTTGTATTTGCTCTTCCCCTATTAATGAATAACTGCTCTCGCCCACCGGCGCTTAGCTTCGGAGTTCTGATGGGATCCGGCGTAGTAGCCGAGGTATGATCGTACCACGTCAACCTCGTGCCCCGACCGCTACACACCCCTTGCCCGGGTCCCCCCCTTCATAGTCACACCCCCTGCCCCCTCATGCCATCCGCTCCCCCCGCCCCTACCCTCCGCGTGCCCGCTCCCTTGCCGCCTCTTTTGACCCTCCCTGCCCCCCCTCGCCGTTTCCCACCGCCCGCCATTCGCTCCTCCCCGCCCGTGCGCTCCCCTCCTTTACCTTCTCCTCCCCCCTCCCCTCCTCTGCTGCACGCCTCTTCCTTCCCCTCGCCGACCCACTCCACTCCCTGCCCCTCCTCAATCCGCACCCTGCCCCTCGTATCTCGCCCCCCTATGCTTGGTTTCTCCCCTCCCTGCCCCTCGCCGCCTTTCCCCGCTCCCCACCTCCCCCCTCTCCCTGCCCCCCCCACTCTCCCCCCCCCTTGTCCTTGGCTTCCTACCTCCCTGCCTCACCTTTCCCCCCTCCGTGTGCTCAGCTTCTCCCCTCCCTGCCCCTCCCTCCTCCCCGCCCTGCCCCTCATTTTCCGCCCCCCCCCCCCCCACGCCCGGTTTCTCCCCTCCCCGCGCCTCCCTTTCTTTCTCCGTGCCTCTCCTTTGCTCCCTCCCTGCCCCCGCCTGCCCATGCCCCTGTCTTTGGCTTCTCCCCTCCCTGCCCCACGTTTCTTCCCTCCCTGCCCCCCGTCTGCCCCTCCCTTGTTTTCCCCTCACCCATTGCTTCTCTCCTCCCTGCCCTTGATTTCCCACACCCCTGCCCTCGTTTCCTATCATCCATGCCCCTCGTTTCCCCCCTTTGTACGTTCAGCCTCTTCCCTCCCTGCCCCTCCCTTCCTCCCCCCCTGCCCTTTGCTCTCCCCTCGTTACGCTCCCTTCTCCCCATCCCTGCTGCCCTCTTACCACCATCAGCCCATCCCCACGACCAGCCCCCCTCCCACCCTTCAATCCCCCCCTCCCTCTCTCTCTCTCTCTCTCTCTCTCTCTCTCTCTTTCTCACACACACACACACACGCACACTCCCCTCCCCCACCCCCCCCCACCTACATCCTCCCATTCTGCCCCTCCCTGCCCCTTTCCCACCCCCTCGCACGCCCCTCACCTCCCACCTCCGTGCAACTGGTTTCCCCCCTATGGTGCCACCCTTGCATCGCTCGCCCCTCTGCTCACCCTCTGCCCGCCCCTTTTCCGTGCCCTCAGTTGGCCCAGCCCCTGCCCGTTGCTGCCCCTCCCCTTGCCCCCTCAACTCCCCTGCCCCCCGTACACCCCAAGTCCCATCCAACCGCCCCCACCCTCCCCCGGCTGCCCGTTTCCGCTCTCCACCCCCGCGACCGTGTGCGGCTTCCAACCGCCCAACGGTGGTGCGCACGGGGCGTTTCTTCGCATGGGCAAGCCTCCCCGGGGGCCCCCCACCCCGCTGGGTCGTTGTTTGGGCAAAAAAACGAAAAGAAAAGAATCGGACGCGCTAAAATCGTCCTTTCTTTTTCCCGCTTGCCCCTCCCCCGGCACGTGCCGAGCAAGGGGCATAAATGGGTACAACACGAGGACTTCCCGGGAGGTCACCCAGCCCAGTACTGCTCTCGCCCACCGGCGCTCTTACCTTGACCTAGCTTACCTAGCCATGGCTGCCTACTAAGGAGCCTCCTAAACCTACTATTTCGAGTTGCTTAAGGACAAAGTGATTGTGATAGTTGTTTATGTTATAGTTATAAGCGTTTCCAACGGTTAGTTTTTTAGTTTCGACTGTCGAGTTCGACGGGACGGGGGTCGCGAGTTTCGCGCGCGACCCTCAGGAGTCTCGGAAACGGAACTCGCGGGGTGTTACGGAACCGTTTGTTCGACCCCGCCATCGCGGGATCGCTGCGGACGCGCTGCAGCCGGTGTAACGGGAGGTGGGGCGCTGACGCGAAGTTCGCCCGCGGAGTGTAACAGCGCGCGCGACTCACAACCACAACTCCGCCAGACACGGTGTTCCCGCCCATCCCCTCTCTCGACACTCTCCCTTATCCCCCCGCTCTTTTCTGCTCACGGCTTTTCTATTCGAAGCGATTAGCTGCTACCGAGTTTTTTCCCGCGGTTTCCCTCTCTCGAAGTCACTGAGCTTAGCTTCCGCCCGTAGTTAGCACTCTTCCTTCCCTTTCGGTGCGCCCTTCTTTATCGTAACCCTAATTCGAAGAGCCGCGCGTTTCCAAGCACGCTTTCTCGTCGCCTATCATGTTTAGTCATGCACTCGTTTTCCCCGCCTGTTCAATCTAGCCGCGACGTAGACGGAACCGCGCACGGGGCGCTTACCGCCAGGGAAAGGCAGCGCGGAGGGAGGCGAAATTGCTACGTTCGTAGCGATTAAGCAGCCCTCCCCTTGCGCGCCTCCCGAAGCGCGTTTTCTGCCTAGAGCGTTTTAGCCGCCCACGTTTGGCACACAAGCCGCCCCACTCCCCTTTTGCTCACTCCCACCCTGCCGTGCCTCGTCGCGCACTCGTGCATGCCACCCACACGTCGTAATTTTACCCCGTCGCCACCCACATAGTCACCTCCCTGCTCACACCGCCCCTTTCCCCCTCACACGCGCGCTTTAGCCACCCCGCCACCTAACCTCTTTCCCTAACGGCGCTTAGCTAGCAGAGGCCGCCCTGTTTCTGGAAACCGTAGGAAATAAGAGGAAACAACTTCAAGGAAAAAAGAAAAGAAAAAGAAATTCATATAAATCCGAAAAAACCAGGAAAAATCAGAAAGGCAGCTTACACCTTGTTCTCCCAACCCTCCAGGGCCCCACCCAGTCCGCCACCCCCCCATTCTGTTTCATCATACTACACCACACCCTCCCCTTTTGCCCACCAGCATTACCGCCCCTCTCCCCTTATCCCCCACCACGCCCCCAAGCAGGCCTTTCTCCCCCCAGCCTCCCGTCTCCCTGCCCTTAGTACCGCCGCGCTCTGCCCGTGCGTCACCCTTGCCCACTTCATACCACCTCCCCCTTCTCCCCCCCCCCCCGGCTTCTCCCTATCATCACCCGCATGTTCCCCCACTCCCCTGTCCACAACGTCCCTCCACCCCCCTTCCTGCTTTCCCCACTCCCACTCTGCCCCCCACACCTCTACGAGCCGTACTTCCCCCTCCAGCCTCCCTTTCCCCCCCAGCTACTTCCGCATCCAGCGTGGGCTGCACCTCTGCATCCCGCCCTGCCAGGCCCTTCGGTGACCCAACTGCCGCCACCTGGCACCACGCCGCCTTTCCCACCCCCATCCAATCTCTACACCCCCTGCCCCTGCTCCCTGCGCAATCCAGCCACCTACCCCAGCCTCCCTCTACCTCTCCCTAACTCCACACCGCCGTTCCTACCCCCAGCCAAGGTCTACACCCCTTGCTTTTGCTCCCTGGGCTGTGCCGTCCCCAACCTCCCTCCGCCTTTCCGCGGCACCAGACCGCCTCTCCCTCCCCCAGCCAACTTTTGCACCCCCTGTTCCTGCCCCTTGTGCCCTCCAACACCCTACCTCAACCCCCCCCAGTCTCCCCCTTCTCCAACACCCTCCATATTTCCTCCCCCCTGGGGCTCGCCCATCCGCAGCTATCACCCTTCATCGATTCCCCAATTCCCTCTGTCCCCTGTTTCCCGGCCCCGCATCCTATCCTGCATTTACCACAGCACCTCCTTTCGGTGCCCTCTCTGCCCTCCCACGTTCTCACCCCCCGCCTCCCAACCTTCTCATTACCCGCTACCAGGCTCACGCCAACTCGACTACCCACTACCCTTTGCCCCTTCCTCTCTGTTCCCCACCCTTCCTTTCCCACCTGGCTCCACCTGCCCACCCCCACCTCCCGTGGAATTCTGCCCTGCCCTCCCCACCTCTGGCCCACCACCTGTCCCCACACCCTGCTCACCCACCGCTACACCACCCCCGCCCCCCCACCTCCACTACAGCCCGCCAACACTTCCCCTCTCAATCGGCCCCCAGCCCGCCCCCCCCTTGGGCCCCAATCCCCTCCAACTGTCAGGCCCCCTCTACCCTCTCTTCCACCCACTGCGCACCGCTTTCCCCACCCTTTTCCCCTTTCCCCAAGCTAACCCCCCGCACCCCGGCCTCTGCCAGGGAGTTCCTTCCCCCTTTGACGCCCTCTTGAGCCAACCCCAGCAACTCACACCGCCACCGCCAGGCATGCTGCCTCTGTAACAATGCCCCAGCACCCCGCGAGTGGGGGAAAGGCAGGCCCGGGAGCCCCTCGGCGATCTGGGAGGTCCCGCAGCCGAGCCACCCCCTACTCTCCCACTCCCCCCACTTCAACAGTCAGGAAGAAACAACACACACCTGACCAAGCGAAAACACTCACACAATCTGACCCTAGGGGCCAGAAGCGTACCTTTGAAGAGGATGGAACAGAGGAACGCCAAGCCCCACTGGAGGAAATACACGAGGAGGAGCCAGCACGCTCAAAACCGCGCCCTACCCCCGCTGCCCCATCCCAGTCTACCCCCCCTTCAGGTGACAGCGGGGGCGGCACCCATGCATGCTCAGTAGAGAGATCCTCCAACTCACTCGCTACCTCCCATTCGCAAACCAGATTACTTGTGAAAACACTTAATCCTACCCGCACCCCCAAGCACATAGAAGCGGGAGAGGGCAGAGCCAGGGGGGAACTTGCAGCTGACACTGCACGGGAAGGGGTAAGTGAGTTTGTGTGTGAAGGAGCAGCAGAGGCTACAGAGGATGGGGCAGCAAAGGCTGCACGGGAAGGGGCAATGGGGGTTGTGGGGGAAGGGGCAGCAGAGGCTGCAGAGGAAAGGGCAGCAGAGGCTGCAAGGGAAGGGGCAGCAGCGGCTGCACGGGAAAGGGCGGCAGGGGCTGCACGGGAAGGGGCGGCAGGGACCGTGACTCTGGCCAGGCAAAGGGCAGAGGCCATGGAGACAGGTTTTGCAGGAGTAGGGGCCACGGAACCTGCTGCTGCTGTCGGCTGGGGGAACCGCAGCAGAGGAGGCTATAGGGACCGCACCAGGTGAGGCCGCACAGACCACAGCAGGTGTGGCTGCAGGGATCACAACGGGTGAGGCTGCAGGAGGGACCATGGCAGGTGAGGCCGCAGGGAGCGCAGTAGGTGAGGCTGCGGGGAGCGCAGCAGGTGAGGCTGTAGGGGGCGCAGCAGGTGAGGCTGCAGAGAGCGCAGCAGGTGAGGCCGCAGGGAGCGCAGCAAGCGAGGCTGCAGGGAGCGCAGCAGGCGAGGCTGCAGGGAGCGCAGCAGGCGGGACTGCAGGGGCCACAGCAGGTGAGGCTGCGGCGGACGCAGCAGGTGAGGCTGCGAGGGCTGCATCATGTAAGGTTGGGCAGACTCTAGCAGGTGAGGCTGCACAGTCTACAGCTGGTGAGGTCGCATGGACTGCAACAGGTGAGGCCGCAGGGACTGCAGCAGGTGAGGCGGCAGGGACCACAGCGGATGAGGCTGCAGGCGGGACCATGGCAGGTGAGGCCGCAGGGAGCGCAGCAGGTGAGGCTGAAATAGCCGCAGCAGGTGAGGCTGCAGAGGCCGCAGCATGTGAGGTTGAGCAGATTCTAGCAGGTGAGGCTGCACAGACTGCAGCAGGTGAGGCCGCAGGGACTGCAGCGGGTGAGGCTGCAGGGACTGCAGCACGTGAGGCTGCAGGGACTGCAGCACGTGAGGCTACAGGGATCGCGGCTGGTGAGGCTGAGCAGATTACGGTAGGCGAGGTTTTACAGACTGCAGCAGTCGAGGCTGCAAGGACTGCAGCAGGAGCGACAGAGGCCACAGCGGGGGCTGGTATAGGGGGAGGTGCTACGGGTGCAGCGGGGAAGGGGGTAACGGGGACTGGTGCGAGGGAGAGTGCCGCCCCGGCTGTAGCAAGAGAGGGTACGGCAGGGGCCTCAAAGGCAGAAGGTGAGGCTGCAGCTGAAGCAGCAGGGAGGGCCATAGCACGGCCAGTAGGGGCGGCAGGGGCCGCAGCAAACTCGGGGAAACACACAGCAGGGCCGGCAGGGCCGGCAGAGACTGCAAAAGGGGCTAGCAGTAAAGCGGCAGCAGGCGGGGTGGGCTTGGGGGACATAGGGGCAACAGGGGAAGGAGAGGGGAGGGTGGTCCCGACCGGGGTGGGCACTGAAGAGGGGGATGTGATAGCGATAGAGGAGGATGAGGGAGAGGATGTGATGCACATTGACGGGCCACTGGCCCAATACCTCACGCTTGACGGTGAGGCCGACCCGGCCCCCCTGCAGCCTCACGTCGAGGTTCCCCCTCTACCCCCCATGCCCGTCCCCATGCTAGCAGAAGGACCGATGGAGGGGCTGGGGGAGACCTTGAGGACAGAGCCGCGCGAGGGAGCCCCCATCCTCACCTCCCGTCCTCCAGCCCACCAGCCCCCAGGAGCACCACTTCCCCACCCCCACCCTCAGGTCCCGGTAGTGTCCAGGGGGGCAGCCAAGGCCCTGGCCTTCTTGGCGGAGCCGTGCTCCCCGACCCCCACGCTGCTCCATGGCCAGCCCCCCTCTCCGTCCCCAACGCCTGACCCCACGGTTGCAGGCGGTCCACCGGGAGAGCACGCGGGTGCGACAAGAGCAGAGTCACCCGAGGGCACCCCTTCTCTCACCTCTCACCCCTCCCCGCCCCTTCCCTCACTCCTTCCTTCACCCCCAAGGGCAGCACACCTCTGCCCCCACCCTCAGGGGCTCCTTAGAGCACCACGTGGAGCAGCCAGGGCTCTGGTCTTCCTAGAGGAGCCATGCTCCCCGACTCCTACCAACACCCAGCCACCCCTTACCGGCCCACTACCCCCTCCTCCACCAGGCCCCCCCCCACCCGGTAGTACACACATCTCGGAGGTTGAAGCATCTCTGCGGCCAAATCCCTCTCCCACACGCTACAGGCACCCAAACCACCCGAGTCGCCGCACAGCCCCAACACGCCCACCCAACAGGCTGCCCTCCCCACACCACCCCCCCCAGGCAGCCGAGACCCACCCGCAAGGGCTTGCGCCCCAGGCTCATGGGAGCGGCGGCACCCGGGTAGAGGGGCCCACAGGAGAGGCCACCACAGAGCCCACACAAATCTCTCTCCCCCCACCGTTTGTACCTCGCTCTAACCTCCACACTGGCCCAGCCCCTCGACCCCCACCTCCAACCCCCTCTCCCGGCCGGGTTCCCCACGAGTGGCCCCGTTGGGCAGCCATCACCCCCCACACACAGCTTGCCCGATCTGTTCCCACGGAGGGGGATGTTTCGAGGAGAGTGGGGATGCACACAGAGCACCCCCTGCCTGGCGAACCACCCATCCTCCCTCCACCCACCCCTTTGGCCCCACAGCCCCCCCTTCCTTCACAAACAGGCGCGGACAACCAGGTTGGCCGCCGGCGGAAGAACAGGGGCAGAGGAGGCAGAGGGTCAGCCCACGTACTCCCCCCTCCCTCCCTCCCCCACCAAGAGCCCCTCCCCACCTCACATCCCGTTGAACAATTACCAGGCCCTACCTCTACAGCCCGACCACCAAACCTACACTCCCGCCCCGCTCCTGCACCTCCACAGGGCCATGGGAGCGGACCAGCCCACTCACCCCCATTCTGCCCCTCCCGTGCTGTGTCCCCCTCCCAGGTGGCGGCGGCCGCGATCGCTACTGGGAGGGGGGCCGTCGGGTTGAGGGATGCGCCCATGGCAGACGCCACCGACTCCCCCTCCCATCCCTCCCACCCCTTCCATGTCGACGACCCCCTACCGCAACCCATGGTGATTGGGGAGGGCCAAGGGGGCCTTCTAGGGCAGGGTCCACACCCGAGCTCCGCTCAGCCAGCACGCCCCACTCCACCCTCTACCCTGCCAGCCCTCCTACTCTCACCTACAGGCAGGCAGGTCTTCGAGACCCCAGAGGAGGTGAGGGCTGGCATTTCAGATTTGCTGGCGATACACCGCCTGAGCAGCTCTCCGGCTGCCCCCACCCTTCCAGTCCCACAGGACCGGACCCGGACGTATGCGGAGGTCACCCGGTCTGTCCCTTCTTTTATCCCCCCCGCCACTCAGCCAGGCGCGTCACTCCCGACCCCAATGGAGACGGACCGGGGTCTGAGGCCGTGTCACTCGCACCTAGACGGGGTGGCGCCTCCCCCCGTTCAGCCCGTGGCGCAGGAGGTCACCAGCAGTAGGGATGAGGCATCCGCCCCTACCGAGACCCCTCCGCCTGGGGTAGCAGAGCCGTCACTTGAACCGCACCCCGCCGAGGGGCAGGAGCACACCACGGCACACACTTCAGGCTCACCTCCACGTCCCCCCTCCCCAGCTTCAACACCGGTACCGGCACGAGGCCCGGCCCTATCCTGTGCGACACCACCTCTATCTTCGCTGACACCCCCCCCGCGCGGGGCTGGTGAGTCGTCTCCTCCCCTCATCCCAGGCGATCCTGTCGGAGCTCAGGCCGCCCACGGGGTCCCCTCTACAGCCAGTTCCGACGCCACGGCCCCGATTGACCCCGCCGACACGGCGACATCACCCGACCAGGTCGTGAGTTGCCCCACCTGCAGGAGCTCTCTCGCGAACCGACGCGCGCTCCAGCACCACATTCCCTTCTGCCATCCTGCGGACGCGGCTCGCAGGGCGCAGGCTGCCCATGATACCGCCTCGATCATCCCTTCCCTCTCACAGCCCCGTGCGACCGGGATGCAGTTCACCGACGCACAGTGGCAGACGCTCGACTCGGTGGACTGGACAGAGTACTTCTCGCCCGAGCGTATCCATACACGCCCTCTCCGACGTGTCCCGGAGAGGGTCCGCGGAGGATATCTTGACGTCCTCAGTGCGATCCTAGTCCGCATTGCCCAGGACCCGGAGGCTGCTGGCCCTACCTTCCTCCTCGCTGCAGCGCCGACTCTTTTCCTTGTTCCAGCGACGCCACCCGACCGCTCGCACACGGCTGCCATTGCAACGCGCATCTCTCGCTTTGGTCGAGGTGAGTGGGCTGAGCTAGTCTCAGATGCACTAGGCCGTCGCACACCCCTTCCTCGCCGCACAGGTCACCGGTCACGCACCGCCACCGATCCCTCTGCAGCAGATGAGCGCCGCATTGCACGTTGCCTTCGTCTGGCAGCGTGCAATGAGACCTCACGGGCGTGCGCGGCTCTCGAGTCCGCGGAGGCAGCCCCAGATACACAGGGGACGATACAGCGCCTGCAGTCGAAGCACCCCAACGCGGAGAGGCCGACCCCAGCTTGGCTGTCTGGCTTCCAGGGGTCCCCTCTCGTGCTCTCGGTGGATCACTTACGCCGCGCGATTTTCACAGCTCCGCGGGGCTCTTCGGGAGGACCGTCCGGTTGGGTCGCTGAGCACCTGCGAGACACTTTCCTAGCTTTCCCTCAGAGTCTCCATTTCCTCCTGGCCGTGTACCAGCAGTGGCTCCGAGGCCGTTGCGCTCCAGCTGCGCGCTCCTTGCTAGCGTCCTCCACCCTCGTGGCTCTGGCGAAGTCGAACATGGATGTTCGGCCGATTGCCATCGGCGAGGTTTTGGTCCGCATTCTTTCTCGGGCAGTTTGTCTCCAGCTACGTGACCAGATGGCGAGGGTCTTCTTGGCATCACAGCAGTTTGGGGTGGGGGTTACGTGCGGGACAGAGGTCGTAGTTAGAGGCGTCCGCCGCGCTCTGGCTGACCACCCAGACTGGGTGGTCCTGCAGCTAGACGTGGCGAATGCCTTTAACTCTTTCCACCGAGACAGGATGTTTCAGGCGCTGCAGGCCAGTCCGGAGTTTCAGTGTCTGATCCCCTTCATCGGCCTCTTCTACGGGACGCCCTCGGATCTCCACTACAGGTCAGGCACGGGAGTGGTCACGATGCACTCGGAGCGGGGCACTCGCCAGGGAGACCCTCTCAGCCCCTTCTTGTACGCTCTGACACAGCGTCTTGCTTTGGAGCCGGTTCTGGCGGAGGG